CAAATTAGGAGCCTCCCATCTCTTATGCAAAATCCCATTTTTGGACTTCCAAGGCATGCCAATGATTGATGCCAATAAATCTTGGCTGACAATCCTTTCGAAGAAACTTCCTCCCAAGAAGGTCGCAAATCATTTTCTTTGGCAAGTAAAAACATTGCCAGTTCCTGATCCTCTATTTGAGCCTTACGCCAATCCTCAGAAGAATCCTTACGCAAAACAATACGAGCAACTACTTTATCCTCAGAAAGCCCTCTCTGAACTTCAACTTTAGTACAGAATTTACATTTTTCTTCTGCAGAAGGGCGTCTCGAAAGACCATCGGCTTTATCGTGTATAATCCCCTTTCGATAAGCAACATCAAAATCGTATTGTTGTAATCTTTCCGTCCAGCGAGCCAATTGTCCCTTCAAGTCTTTGAAGGACATCAACCATCTCAAAGAAGCATGATCAGTTCGAATAGAGAAACTCTTTCCGTACAAATAATGATGAAAATGTTTCACCGATTCTACCAAAGCTAATAACTCTCTTCTTATTGTGCAATAATTCCGCTCAGGCTTGTTCAAAACCCGACTATAATAAGCAATGACCCTCTCATAGCCGTCCTGAACTTGTGAAAGTATCGCCCCTATTCCAAAACCTGAAGCATCCGTATCCAAAATCATCTTTCCTTCCCCCTTCGGAAAGGAAAGAAGAGATGCAGACGTTAATGCCTGTTTTAATCTCAAAAATGCTTCTTGATATTGCTCAGTCCATTCAAATTTAGTCAAATTCTCAATTAATTTAAACAGAGGCTTCGCAATTGAAGAAAATCCCTTAACAAACTTCCGATAATAAGAGCAAATTCCAAGAAAACTTCGGACCTATTTCTTATTCTGAGGAACTGGTCACTCAGTGACCGGTTCAGTTTTCTTTGGATCTATAGCGATCCCAGCAGAAGAAACAACATAACTCAAATATTTTACTTGTCTCCTAAATAAATCACATTTCTTTGGGTTAACACTAAGTTTCGCAGCACGAAATCTCAGAAGAACCTCTCTTAAATTCTCTTTCATTTTCTCAAAAGTTTTGCCAAATACTATCACATCATCTAAATAAACCAGGCAAATTTTCGAAAGTAAACTCCGAAACACCCATTCCATAAGACGTTTAAAGGTAGCCGAGGCATTACACAGACCAAAAGGCATTGCAACAAATTGTCAAAGTCCATTCCCCACAGAAAAAGCAGTCTTTTCCCTATCTTCGGGACGAATTTTCAGTTGTCAATAACCACTTTTCAAATCCAGAGTAGAAAACCAGGCATATCCCGATAACTGATCAAGAAGATCATCAACCCTTGGAAGCGGATAAGAATCTTTTTTCGTAACCGCATTCAATTTCCGAAAATCAACGCAAAATCTAAGAGATCCATCTTTCTTCTTTATCAAAACTGCTGGAAAAAGGCTTGAAGATTCTTCAATTACCCCTTGTTCTTTCATGTCTTCCATAATATAATTTTTTCAACTTCTGGACGCATATGTATTGGAATTCTCCTAGGAACCTGTTTGATAGGACGAGAATCAATTCAATTTTATGTTGAAGAACTTCACACTTTCCTGCAACGGCTTGCTCCGAAAACACGTCACGAAATTCTCGCAACAATGTAGCGAAAACTATTCTCTGATCTACCTCCAACTCTCGGGAATTATTATTAAAGAATTCTTCCAACTCCGCGGGCACAGCTTCATCCTCTTGCTTAATCCGACGACAAAAACCTTCCCTTTGACCTCCACAGAGAAAAGATTCTATTACAGTTTGCATCCCTACTCGTAAAAAGAAATCCGCGCCCAAAATACAATCCTCACCAATATCGGCAACGAAAATTGGTAACTCTAAATTAAATCTCCCTAAGTTTATCTTAGCGAACATTTTAAAACTGATCGGGACCCTTTCCCTCGTAGGATACTTCAAATTTTCTTCATTTGCTGAAAAACGCATCTCTTTTCTCCCTACAAATTTACTGCTCATCAAGGTCACGTCGGAGCCCGTATCCAATTTAAAAAAAACAGTCTCTCCCGTTAAGAGAGCCTTGGAAAACAAAATTTCCTGATTTTTCATACCCTCTCTCGAAACGCCTACAAACAACCGGGGCATTTCTTCCATTTGTCGAGCCCGCCCCTGAAAGTTCGACAAAACCTATTTTCCCTGTTATGAAACAGAAAGTGATGGACATTCGGAACGGAAGTGCTCTTGTTTTCCGCACTGCCAACATTCCTTTTTTCCTTCAATTCTAAAATTTTTCTTTTTCTTAAAATTTAAACCCCTCGTTCCACGAGATTCTACTTTGAACCCGTTTAAATCAGGATTGCTCTTATAATCTTTAACCTCTTTAAAATCAAAATTTCTCCGTTTTTTTAAACAATTCTCCCTAATAATTTTAATAGCCAAAGTCCTTTCTACCGCGGCTCTCAAAGATGTTAACCCTTCTAGCTGCAATGTCTGTTTAACATTCACATCAGACAATGCAACTACAAATTGAGGACAAGCAATTTTGTCACGAACTCCGGGAGAACATTCAGGATAAGCTAATCGAGATTAACGCTCGACATCCGAGCCTAATGCAGCTAAATCTTCTCCGAATCTCTGTTTTCGATTCTTAAATTGATAACAATAATTTTGCGAAGATAAATTTTCTCCAAAACGTAGCTCTAAACGCGCGACCAAATTTTCAAATTGAGAGTTCTCAAAATCCATGCTTCCTTCCAAAATCGCACGCGCTTTTCCTCGGAGACATGACGCTAGTACGACAGCCTTCTCCGCGTTTCCCAAATTACTTCGCCCGCGCAATTAATAAACTGCGTAAGATATTCGCGCAACGGAACACTACCGTCATAA